TAATTATTTAGTTCATTCGCATTTTTCCCTTTCTAATGCACATTAACAATAATAGTGCACTTCCGAGGGATGCACTAAAGTTCTCGAGATCTTTTAATGAAAGCACTAATTAACTTAGCAAAACAACACAATGAAAAATGAAGAGGATTTTATTTAAAAATCGCGTCTATTTTTATTTCTTTCGTTATTGCTGTGGAAAACCCCACAATACACTGTGCGCGAACCAACTGGCAAAGCGAAAAAAACAAAAAGATGACTACAAATTTTCATTTAAAAGCCGTAGGCCTATTATCTAGTTCCACAGACAATATTTCATGCGCAAACGGAGACTACAACATTAGTGAATACACACGCCAGCTAGACTGCTGCTAATGCAATCATCTTGATTCATCTGCTCTGCAATCATCAACTCGTACTAGCAACAAAATACACATAATGAGTTTAGCAGTTCAATCAATTTTCTTCTTAACGTATTCGAAGAATAATCGAAGGAGTTCAGGCTCAGTGGTAAGGCATTCCAATACCTCGCAACACGAACAGTGAAAGATCGCTCGGCTGATAAGTTAGACAAATGTGTTATTAGCACGAAAGGCTTTCTATGCGATCTACAAGGCCGCAGTCGTTCTACCAAAAGGCTAAAGGAAATAAACAACCTGAATTTTAAATAATCGGGAAAAGGGAATTTTAAGAAAGCGTGAAGACGCTACAAAGAAAACGAATTATACGATTACCTCGGGCATCCAGAGAAGTCTTTAATACAAGAGTTAACGTGCGTCATGAGGAAGGAATGCGCAATGATATGTTTAACCTTTAGAAGTAGACATGAGTTTAGGTCGTACAATTTTCGCAGCGTAAGCCAAACTTTAGCAGAAACGTTGTTAAGATCAATAGACTAGACCAGATATTTTTGCATTGAGGTTGAATGATCCAGTAAGGAGACATTTAGAGAATAAGGCTTTAGCAAGAGTTAAGAATTGCTCAAGACTCGTTAAGCAGAAAGATGTCACCTACATAAGCGAAAAAAGAGTAGCCTTTCCTAACTAAATCCCAAAGATCATTCATCAAGAGAGTAAACAACAGGGGGATCAAAATGACATCTTGCAGTACAGCAAACATAGACTCATTGAGGGAAGAGTTGAAGGTATTCACCGTAGCAAACTGCTTACGATCCGAGATATATGGCCTTGACAAGCTTACAAGCACTTACAGACACTTTGAAATTATCATATCAATTTGTTAATGAGCCTCTTTTCTGGGGCAATATTTTCTTCAAAGTAATGCTCACCAATATTATCAACTAAGAACAAAATTCTTCAATTACATAGGTAAAAAAGTAAAGTTTTCTCTCAATTTTGCTCTATTTATGTGTCCACGTTTCTATATATGCCAGCCGAGCAATCCACATCGACGACAAAGCGGAATATCCGTAGTATCAAGCTTACGTTCGTTGTTTGCATATACAAGTAAATTCGTTGTTCCAATAAGTCAGACAAAGCTAACGCAAAATTACTTTTCCAAGTGTATTCGCTACTCTTTTTTTTCTTCTTGATTAGCACTTATCTCTATCGATTATTGAGTTATGCATTATTGAGTTTTTATTGCTTATTGGAACAACACGTAACAAGTAAGAAAATTTTATTCGGTTGTAATCAAATTCTCCATCGCTGTTGTCCTAAAAAGGGTTAAAAAAAAGAAAAAAACTAAATTTTCATACGCGATAACATTAGACATGGGTGTGGCTGACTTTTTCTATTTCGGCATAATAAAACCGTAAATTTGTGTCGTGTATCTGTTGATGTTTATGAGCAACAAGCAAAAAACACGGAAAGCCAAAGTGTTCACAGTTTTTGTTTTATGGACGTGTGGACGTTACTGATGTGCCCTTTGACGAGTTTAGGTCATTTTCAGATTCTCTTGCATGTTTGTAAGCGATATCTTCATTTTTGCAGTTGGACAAACGGACAAAGTACGCAGTGGTGTCCCGAATTTACCGAATTCACTGGTCAAGAATATACATGTTTTATGGGACTTTGGATTTTGGAAGGTTTTGACAAAAAACTAAAATATTGATAGCCTACCATATTGGATAAATGTGGCCGATTTTTTTTTTTTTTTTTTTTTTTGGTTCTTTAGCCAATTTGGCCCAATTTCAATACCGATTTGCCTATTTCCGTCAAGGAGATAGCTACACTGAAGGAGATAGCTACACTGTTACTGCCAGGAGAATACCTAGAACAGACATTGCAGGCACTCACAGACGGAGATACTTAAATCGATTCAGAATAAGATACGGATCAAGAATATATACTCTTTCAGGAGTCCCTATGAAACTTAGTCCTGAGCGTTGAAAACGTGGTAACAAAATGAATTCAATCCGCGGTCTTCGGTGATGGGTACAGAAATGAGATAGCTGTGTGCATAGTTTCGTAATATGGCTTATTCTTCCCTCTTTTTTATTTATTTTTTTTATGTTAAACGTTCAGTTCTGCTAAAACATTTGTCAAAACTCACATATAGATCCAATACGCAAACATTGGCATTACGGACGTCGAGGAAAAACGAAATCATTCTCGTATTGAAATAATCAATCGTTATGAGAGATTCTCTAATCGGTATGTGAGAAGGTACTGTAGTGAAACACGACAAATTAGTTTGTTAACGTTTATTGAATTTGTTGTGTTTCGCTTTATTCGTAATTCGACTACCGACTACTGATCTTTTGGCCATTGCTTATCTGCAAACTTGTTTGTGCTCATGTTAGTGTATTTAAAAATTCGAGATTATTGCTTAAAGTTGCCATTGTGCTAAACCAGGTTATTAGAATTGGGCTAAAGCCTTGTAATATGCAAAGCTTGCATAAGTCAAACTGAATAGTGATAGGCAAAATAAAAGAAAATAAATCTCAGGCCATTATGCTGCACATTCCCTCTTTGCAATTAAATGATCATTCTTGGGTGCTTTTGTGTATATCTTTCTTTTTCTTTCACCTAGCATGCGCGTATGCTATATGAAATCCATACTTAGTTTGCTTAGCGTAGTCAGTTTTGTCTGTTTTCTCGGGACTTGTTAATTATCTGGGGGCCTTGCAAATACTTGTTCTTTGGCATAGCATTGATGTATTGCGGAAGGTGTTGTATGAAAAAACAATATTGGAAAAATCTTAGCCAGTCGATACATATGAACGGATATATTCGTTTAATGTTCGATGGCTGCGTTCCGCTGCACCAAGTGTGCGATGATGATGGGCTCTTGATATTGTTTTGTCTATTTTCAGTTACTTCCATAGATCTTCCACTAAGATATTTTTATGTTCTATTCCTTGATCGGTAATGAGTGTTTTCTTAGGTCCGCAGTTTAAAACAAAATTTTCAAAGACTACCCTTGCTGCGATTTTGGCGCTTTTTTCTGTAACTGGGGTTGTTATCAGATACGTGGTAACATCACAAATTCGTTGCCACTTTTTGTCTTTAGTAGAGGACCAACGGCGCTGGCGTCTCTTATTATGCAGAAGGGTTTTTTGAAATCGGGCTACTGCAGCTCAAACGCCTGATTACACGTTGGAGTCCATTCGAATAGAATTTTCGTGCTGCACAGTTTAGTTAAGTGACCCACCTGTAATAGTTGCAATTTGCAACAAAACGATTTTTTTCCATTGTTTTAGAAAGTCAAGGGTCGCATCGCTAAAAGAAGTAAAACTTGTAAAATAATGATCGAAATGTCGTACAATTTTAACGCATTTCATTCCAAGGATAATGCTATCGGTCGATAGTTACGTAACATTTGTATTTCGTGCTAAGAACTTATTGATTGATTGATGTGTTGTAGACATGTAAGGATATCTTAGTCAGTTAATAAAAGAAGATCTTCGATTACCTATTCTTTGATTCGTTTTCCAAGCAAATTTAAATCTCTAGTTAAACACAAAAAGCGACTAAATAACTTTAGTAAAAACTATTTTGAGCACTACGAAGGCGAATATGACTTTGTCTCTAGTTTTTAATCTCTTCTATATTGTGGGTTTGTTTTTCTCAGAGCTTTAATCGCTTGTATCAACAAAACAACAACCAAACAAAAAAAACGAGTAAGAAAATTATATTCGGTCATGACCGAATCTCTTACACGCATCACGATGGCCCCAAAAAAAAAAAAAAAAAAAAAAGAAGAAAAGGGTGAGTGTGACTGATGTTTTCTATTTTCAGAACAAAAGTGAAAATTTATGTGGTCAGTGTGTTGTACTTTAAGAATAACAAGCAAAACCACGGAAAGCAAAATTATTCACAGATTATGTTATATAGGCGTACGGGCGTGTTGTAAGCGTCTTCTTTGAAAAATTTACGTCTTTTTCAAACTCTCTTGCCGCCGTGCAGGCGATATCTTCATTTTTGAACAGATGGACAGATGAACGGACGTATTTACATACTTGTGTTATAAACGTTTTGCAAAAAAAATGAAACAATGATACTATAAAATTAAGTAGGCATGGCTGATTCGCCTAAAGAGCATACATTCAAATTTGTGTATATTTATCTGTTATAGTTCATGCGTAGCCAAGTTTGTATTCCTTTTGAAAAACACAGGTGTCCTCACTGGACGCAGGCGTGTCCTTTGGCCGCTTTCAACCTGACAAGAACTGCCAATGTTTCTGCCAAATTTCAAGTCGAGAGCTTCATTTTTGCGGCGAGGAAAAAGTCTCCAATACATTTTACATAGACGGACAGACAGGCATACGTATGCCCAAATCCGGATTTTATGAAGCCGATTAACAATATAAATATAATTTGTGGATTCTCTGAAGCTTCATTTTGGACGTTGCAGACATTGCGACAAAATGAGCATACTCCTCACATTTCGGTGATTGCTATAAAAACAATTATTTATTCAGGATGTTAAATGGTCAGAGTGTGTTTATTTGCATGTCCTATGTAATTTTGTCCCTTGTCCTCTTGTTATTATGTAATCTCTTTACATAATTTCAATTTTTTCTTTTTTTACGCCTTTAGAACCTCGAATTCAAACGCTCATTTATTTAACAATAATCTGCACTTGCAATTGCGGCAACCACGCCGGCAGCCAGCCTCGCCAGCCAACTCTCACCTCTCTAGTTTTCCAGTTGTCGGACAACACGATAAGGTAAGTTGATTGTAATCTGCTCCTAAATGATTGCCTTGTTTCCTTTTTTTCTTTAAAAGATAATCTATTGCTTTGTTAGGGTTTACGGTAGTGTTTACTTACGTCATGTTCGGCAAGTGGACTCTTTGCCATTAAGAAACGATGCAAATCTCAACGCTTCTACTGCATATTCCTTGGAGAGAATTGTAACACAGATGAAATACGCTTTAACATTAGCTACCGCTTTTATCCACTTCTATCGTTAGTATGGAGCACAAAGTACTATCACAATATCAAAGCTTTGTAGCGACACTTTGCCTAATAAAGCAATTCTGGTGCGCTGCACTTTAACAGAATCCCGATTATATTTCCCACGGACGGTAATAGGTACGTTTTAATGGATGGATTCGATACGCAAAAACAAGACGTTATCAAGTTTCATATTTTTGTGTGCACGTCAAAGTTTCTCCTTCTGATATAGGCCGCGTTTGCAATGTCCCTTAACAGTAACACCTCACCAAATTGATAATTACGGCTTAGATTATTGCCACCTTAATAGGTAGCTTGTGTTATACGATACTAGTCGCCTAATTCGGTTACAGTCGACACTGATAGTAGGTTTTTAGAAACTAAAAAATTTTGGAAAATGTAGGAGCTGGCGGCCCCCCCGCCAACAACTAATGTATTAAATTTTCTGATTGATTGCATTTTCGTTTCCTCTTTGGTCTTACGATGCAGCGGACGAGAGCTTAATTATACAGGCGTGCGAACGGACGCGGACAAAGAATTCGGTTTGTCGAAAGGGACCACGCCTCAAGGATGTTCTTGCCGAATTTTTTTCAAAAAGGTAGTAAATTTACTGCTTGTTTACTTATAGCGCTTATGCGATTATATTAATGCGATGTTTGTTTAAGGGATTTCATCAACGGGTTGCATTACTTCGCCTATTATGTAATAATAATCAATTTTGTTACTGAATAGGAAAGATTTCGAGAGAGGTAGAAAATTTAAGGTTCCTTTTGTGGTAAAAAATTTTTTATTGTAAACTAATTTTTGTATCCATAAATTATCAGCGACATGAACACCATATGCATCTCCTCTCACGCCAAATATGTAATGTGGACTCAGTTGATCGAGTAAATACTGTCTTAGTGGTCGTTCTTAAATCGTTATGTAAATGCTTAATCGTAGCGCTTTCGACAAAGGGAGAAGAGCGACAAAAGGAGAAGAGAGCAATAAAATTAGGAAGAGAGTGCTTATAAGTTAGTCGAGAAAGTTGAGCAGCTACGTGAACAACAACAAGTGTCAACAAACAGGTAAATATTTTAAATTTCTATTTGTCGTTCTGTGCTCTTCTGATAAAACACGTCTCCTTTCCCCTTTCAATAGACGTCAAATCACGTTTATCCGGAAATAATTGGCCCCGACAAGCGTTTGCTAAGGAAGTCGAACTTTTACGGGACTTTACCAAAAATATTAAGTGATCAACTTTTCAAAAATCAAACGAACTGATCAAGTGAGTTAAGAAACAAATAATCAGTATACTTACTAATTCATATTCCATATCGAAGGTTACCGAATCCCAAGAGAATGAAAAAACGCAAAGCATACGAGCTGGCACAAATATAAAAACGCACCATCAGCGACATTCTAATTCAAATCAAAGCAACATGAAAATTAAGAATTGAAAAAACATATTTGCATGCCTCCGGCCGATTTCATTCATGATTTTATTAAATAATATAAACTATAAATTGCATAATTAATTTTAAGCCCATGTAGATGTTTAAAGTGCATACATATAATGCACGTAAGTGTTCACTTTCTAAAATTCGACGATCACGAACGAATTAACTAACACCCAAACAGTATTATATAGTTTTGCACCTTTTTAACTTGTTTAAGGACTTGTGCGTAATTTTATTTGCATTATGGAACCAGAGTGCTAAGAGTAACGTGTATTTAAAAATTGAAACAGGCGGATATGCCGAATGTATGCCGGCCAGCTCCGTTTTTTCCTGCGATAATCAGAATTCTGGTAACAAATATAGATATTGGCACTGATAACTTGTAAATAATTTAGAAATTCAAATATTACGCGCAACGAAAGAAAAAGACACGATACACGGGAAAGTCGAAGCTTTGCCCGTGATAACTTCTCATACGAATAATTAACTGCATGCGTTAAATTTGCGAGCATTAAAATTGCGAGCGTATATTTAGCTAAGCAAATTCTCTTTCATATTCTGTACGCTTAATTAACTAATTAAATGCTCTTAGTCAATAAAACGATGCGAATGCTCCAAGTTTTGCCATCTATTTGCATGCGAGCGATTGCAAAAGAAAATGAAAGTAATCGCAATCATGATAACGGCCGAAACGATTGACGTCATAGTGGAAATTGGCGAAAACCAAATGCCGGAACCTATATGTACACATAATAGAATCTGAGCCGATTTTTTGCTTAATATCAATATAGCAATCCTATTTCAAGTTAATGATTAATTAGCGGACCCCAAAACAATTTCGAAATTTTTGTTTCATCTTCGGTTAAGAAAAACTGACGGCCCAAATGAACAAATTCGTTTAGTGAGATGAGGCCGTCACCATTCTTATCAATCGCGGCAAAAGAGACGGCAGCATTTTCATCTCCCAGACCCAAACAATGGAAGAATAATTTATACTGATCGAGATCCAAGTGACCAGTATGATCGTAATCCACAGCCTAAATATATGGAAGAAATAAAATGCAAGTAATAAACATGATTTTATCGAAAGAAGAAGGGAGTAATCTCATGCTGGCTTACCTTGAATAAATAAAATAAAAATTTGCCCAAATGCTTACGCAAGTCTTCATCATTTAAACGGTGTTGCATATCAATTAAAAACTGTTCGGCGGTGACTAGATTGTAAGTTGTTATAGGGCCAAATTGTTCTTCCCAGGTAAGTCGCACGACATTGAAAAATTCAACCGACATCTCGGGCGACAAATGACCCAAATCCGTAAAACGTTTGACCAAAAGCCCGAAATCATCAAAAGATATAACCCCGTCCCGATTAATATCTAGAACCCTGTGTAACGTACACATTTTGCGGCGCCAAAATTCTGAATCACCCTATCAATGAAATACAATGGACTTTACGTGAACTAACATCCGATATAAAATTGCATTCGCTTTCACAAACTTACCCGTTGTCCGCATTTTAAATAATGCTTTTCTCGCTCGCATTCATATTCGTTTTCTGAGTCGGAATTATTTTCTTCTTGTCCACTTGTTTGTCGTAATAATCTCTCATCCCGTTCCGCATATAATAAAGTGATCCGATTTACGGTATACGTGACTTTGTCCTGTTGATTAAAATGCGAGCATTGTGCAGCAGTTGAAACACGGGGCAATTGTTTAAGTAACTAAAAGAAGATCGCAGGTCATATTTTGTAATAATTCGAATGTTAAAAGACAAATAAACAATAATAATAATAAAATTAATATTTTTATAATTTGCGTCCAGACAACAAAGTAAGCATTCGCTTTCGTTATAAATATGATTTATACATGTTCACCTCTTACTAAGATTCATTATATAAACAAAGTAATGACAAAATATTAATAAATAATAATAGTAATAATAGTAAAGCGGTAAAGCGGGCTTCTAGAAAACGAATATATATCTCATACAAAAAAAGAAAATTAGATATTTTTAATTACCAGGAAACCGTTTAAATGTGAAACGGATTCGATGGCAAAATTGCGTTCAAATATTATTGTAGGACTACGCAATAGCCAACGAGCAATTATTGCGAGAGCCGCCATATGTGTGGAAACAATATTTTGAAGATCATTGTCTGGAAAAATTAAATTTTAATCTGTAAAGTTTCACTGCACTCTGAACGATTGATGTCTTTCCACAAGAATTTTGTTCTATATATTTTTGAATTTTCGTTCCGTCTTCAACGAAGCTCAAATCAATTTTAAAATTACAGTTCGAAAAATCAAAACTCGAAACTGCTGCGCATTCAGAAATAAATATTCCTTTGTATCCACTTTCTCACAGCAATGGGAACAATATATATATATATATGTACATATATGATATCTACATGTACGGCTAAGTAGTTCAATCTGATTATGTACGCAGAATACATACTCCATTGTTCTTTATTTTTATCAACTTGCATACAGAATGGATATAATGTATAAACAATGTAGGAAAACGTTGAACAACAAAAGTCCCGAGAGATAAAGATTTTCAAAAAGTTTAATCAACCCGTTACATTATTACATAAAATAATGTCGAGAAAAATTGCTCTGTTTCCAGAGGAATTTAATGAATCTAAGCATGAATTTCAAATATCAAACAATCAATGTAACCATGTCGTACTTACATATATATATATATATATATATATATATTTATATATATACATATGCGTAACAACATATGCGTATATTGAAATAATTACTCAAGTATCCGTCCCCGTCTCCATTTTTCGACTTTTTCAAAAGAAGGCGTTACATGGCGAGTGCATATAAAAATCTATATAAATTTGGATCGTTAAAAAAGGCTGATTCCTTGTACGAATGTTTCGAATTGATTCTCCTACAATCCTAATCCTAATCCCAAAAAGCAATAATTTAATTTCATGTACCTATCGTATGCGGCATGTCTCTTACTCTCAGTTGATCAATACTATTTTACAAATCCCGCTGCATGTAGAAAAAATATTGGATCATTTTGAATAAGTTCGTTATGATAGATAAACAAATGAACAACACAATTGAAAGGATAAGAAAACAGTTATCAAGTATTCTTTACAAAATATATCGGGCGAGTTTAGGAGTAGTATCTACTAGTATCTACTTTTTTACAAGATAATCAATCAAGAGTGAGGATGTATTCTTTATTAAAATTTTTTTTGTTTCTTTTTTTTACCCATCACCGAAGGACAAGGATGTACTCATTTTGTCATAATCTTTGCAATGCCTAAAAGGAAACATCAAAAGTGCCCATAAAGTATATATATTCTGAGCCGATTAAGGTATGTCGGTCCGTCTGTATGATGCGCGTTGTTGGCACTTCCCTGATCTTGAAAAATGAATATATCGACTTTAAATTTGGTAAAAACATTCAAAGTCTTTGCACGCAAGTTGGTATTGAAAATGGATCAAATTGGTCGGAACACAAGCCCGCAGCAAAGCGTGAAGTGAAAGCAATTCCGTTTCTCTAAGCAAAAAATTGTGCATTTTTGCTCACTTCTCACAACTTATGAAAGATAGAACGCTGAAATTTTCTGCATTTACTTTACGGAAAACTCGACTTTTTTTATTCAAAAATGGAATGTTTGAAATGATTTTGTACATTCCTCAAACGAAGATACGTTATCTGCGTAGAAATCCGTTAATTTTAAAATAAACAGGATGGACGTCATGACCTGGTCGTTTAATTTTTTTCTTAATACCATCGATGTGGGTGCCACAGAAAAGGACTTGAAGATAAGAATGCAATAAGCTAAGTATGTTAATTCTAAATTAATTATGGTGGGTGTGACAGCGTGGTACATTAATTTTTCTTAAGAATACTTTTTAGTGAAGTAAAAGGTGAAAGATAAATTTCATCCCATTCACTTTTTAATGAGAATAAATAAAAGTATGGGGCGTTCATGGTGGTGGGTATGCAAGATTCAGTCCCAGACAGATATAAATTTCTGGTCTTTTTTTTTTTTTTTGTTTTCACAGTAGCTCATGTGCGCAATTCGGGTTTAATATTTTTTGCCTTTCTAGTTTGTTATTTTCCCGTGGGCATCACTAAAATGCGTTAAACGTATTGCTGCGTTGCAAAAAAAAACCCTCTTCAACATGTGTGCGCCTTTTCAGCTTTTTACTGCACAAAAGAGATTGATATTTGTGTACGTCCTCAATTGCCAGATAGCAGGTGTTTGCAACTATATTTTCAATTTTTTAAAAGAACCATTTTTTACTCTTTGCTACACATTTACAACGCAAATATATAGAAATGAAACATCAAAATTTGTAGATTTTTGCTAGGACTCACTTTTTATGTTAAATGTGGGTGTTATATAAAATAAATATTGAAATTATTAATTATTAATAAATTTATTAACGCTCTTTCGAAATTTATTCATTAAAAATCAACAACAAAACAAGCACAATCAACGATAAACAGTCTGATCGAAAAATAGTTTGTTTTTACCTCCTTTTCTACTTTGATATCTTTTCTCGGTCTGTAATAACTCTGTCACTGAAAAAGGATTTCAGATGCCGACAGCTGTTGGTTAATTTCTTAAAAACGGTTTTAGAGTCGCACAAGAGCTGGAAAACTAATAAACAATTACGTTTTCGATTTGAATTCAAATGATGATGAAGAACTATCTAACTTGCAAAGATAAGCTTACGCTTAAGCTTAGGTATCATCGAATAATTTATATTAAATAAATTTTGTAAAACAAAGTAACGACTACAAAAATTTCGGCTTCACTCTGAATGCACAGATACGAGAAAAAATTGCATAAACACAAGAAATGTTGACGTTTTTATGCTACTTGCTGAAAGTATTTAAAGAACTTGAGGAAAGAAATTTTAAATCCCAGTGAGGGCAAGGTGGAATCTGCAGTCCTATTGAGAACGAAAATTACGAAAAATACAAAAGAATTGCAGATAGGGAAACACGAAGCCGCACTTTCCTTATGATTTTGCATAGATCCAGTCAATATAATAATTAATTTGATCAATGGTGTGATAAAAGTGAGGAAAAAGTATCTAAATTAATTATATCAACTCACCAGGTCAGCCAGTAAGGTAATAATTGCTATGCTGTTCGTAAAAAGAAATGATGATTCGATTGAATTTGCCTTAGTTAATGGCAGCAGTTTGAAAATGTGATGAAAGCAAATGATGCGAATAGTTTTAAGTGAAACTAAGACTAACGCAAAAATCGAAAAACTAGAGACCAAATCATTAGCCATTAACAATATGAATCGATCAGTCACATTATTGTTCCAAAATGCTGAAAGAGTCGTACGCAGAGAAGCTCTATCGGAGGAAATCTCATGTTTACGAGGAATGCCAAGTTGCAAGCAGTCGAAAAGAAACCCAGAAAATCACCCCAAGATAAAAAAGCTTTATGTCTGAAAAGGATTCGCGAAAAAAGGACTTCAGATGTACTTTATTAATTGTTTTTTTTTTTTTTTTTTTTTTTTTTTTTTTTTTTTTTTTT